GAATGATGTGCTTTGATGAACTTGTGCCTTCCTGGAGTTTACTTTGGGGAACACAGGAAATAGGCTAGCATCCTGTTAATGATGGCTCTCCTCCCTCCCCAGGACCCCTTCAGTATGGAGGCAGACAGCCTTGGTTAGACAGATGGGTTCCAGAGGAGAAGTTATGTAGTGGCTGCAAAGGGATGCCATTTCTCCGGTCTAATTACAGGACTTTTATTATATTTAAAATTTTGTGAGGGAACAGATATAGTGACACACCCCTAATCCCTGCACTTGGGAGGCAGAGGTAGGCAGATCTCTGTGAGTTTGAGGTCAGCCTGGTGTACACAGTAAGTTCCAGGACAGCCAGAGCTACATAGTGGAGACCCTGTCTCAGAAAAAAAAAAAAATGTGGGGCTGAAGAGATGGCTCAGTGGTTAAGATGACTTGTTCTTGCAGAAGATCCAGGTTCAGTTCCCAGCACCCACAAGGTGACTCATAACCATCCCTAACTCCAGTTCCAGGGGAGTCAATGTCTTCTTCTGATCCCCAGGGGTACCAGACATACAAATGGTGAATGCTTAAACATGCAGGCAGAATACTCATACACATAAAATAAATAAATCTATACATTTTTCTTAAATTTGTGCGTGTGGTATATGCGTATGGATGTGTTTATGTGTGGGTGTTCATGTGTGCATATGTTTACATGTGCATATGCATACATTTGTGTGGAGGCCAGAAGTCAATGTTGAATTTTTCTCAATCACTCGCAACAGTATTTCTTTTGAGACAGCATTTTTTTTTTTTTAGTGAACCTGGAGCTCACCTATTTGACTATGCTGTTGGCCAGCGAGTTTCAGGGACAGCCTGTCTCTGTGTCCTCCATGCTGGGACTGCAGGTGCATGCTGGCATGCCTAACTTTCTCTTTGTGTGCTGAGAATATGAACTCAGGTTCTAATGCTTGCAAGGCCATCACTTTACTAAAGGAGCATCTCCTAAGCCACAGTGACCAGCCAGAAAAGGCTCTGAAAGTCCCCACGAATATGACTTGAGAAATGGTGAGGTGCTTATTGATTGCTTACATGGACTCAGGCCCTGGAAAAGGCTCAGAACTCTGCTCCAGAGAGGAAGTGGGAGACCACAGCCCAGAAAGCCAGCCTAACCACGACACACTCAGTCATCCTCTCTGTTGAGAACCTGCCCAAGGTCCCTTCCAAGGCCTGTTCTTCCCCTCCTCCTGCCTCTACAGTCACCTTCCATGATGCCTTCCCCATACATTATTTTTGAAGAGAAGAGTTTAATGATCTAAAATTCTAAGAAGATCCTATTCTCACCTAAGATGTGATAGCCAGGGTTGCCCATTACCATGTGGTCCCTGTCTTGTTCCTAAGATCCTGCATGAGAATTCTCTCACTGGGACCTGGGCTTGCCAAAATTAGACTAGGCTAGCCCCCTAGTCTAGATCCCCACCTCTTCATCACTGGCATTGCAAGCTTGTGCCATTATGCTGGGCCTTTCATATGGATTCTGGGGATCAAATTCAGGTCTTACGAGGTCAGGCACTTTAAGAATCGAGTCACCTCCTCAGCTCCAACTACTGTCAGAGCTGGCTCTGAAATAGGCTTGCACCCCATTCACGACTGGCATGAGGAAAAGCATGTTCTCCAGGGACTTCTTGAATCCATGTGGGAGACAGAATAAAGCCACAGAGAATTTGGAGACTTGGATGGGGTTGGGGCCAGCTGATTATTTTTTTTCATACTTGAATAGGAGGCATTTCTGACCTGCACGCTGACATTTTTTAACTTAGTAATAGTGAAGCAATCCCCAGAGACTTTGGCTGCTGGACACTTCATTATGTGAAGCTTCATGGGGATTTTTGTGGTTTTGGCATACCACGAAATATGCCACATGAAGACTTAAGGCAGTCAACGCTTTTACGATCTACAATGACCATTAAATGTCTCTCATAGACACACACACACAAAAATGCTTTTGCCAGCCAAGGCAGCAACAATGTTCTCATAAATTTGAGTCTAGTCAAATAATGAGGATGGACAAAATCAGGAAGTAGTGCTTAGAATTAACTCTTACTTTCTGTGCCTTCATTTCCCGGGGAGCTCCTCAAATCCCCTCACACAACATTCTCCTACTACAGTCTGACCTCATGCATGCTTTCACACTCACACAACAAGCCCCGCCCTCATATCACACAGCAGCAGCCTCACCTGTGTGAGGGACTCCCTACCCTTCCATCAGAGCTTTTGGAACATGGTCCTTATCTCCCCCCGCCCCGCCCACACACACACCATTGCCCAGCAACTTTGTTGTATTGCCCTGTCAAGGTCTTTACCTATCTGGGGGTTTCCTCAGGCTGTAATCTGGGCCCTTTCTCAAGGCACACTAGCCTGCCTGCAGTAGCTGCCTTGCATACCAACCTCATCAAACTTCTGTGTCTTTGTGTCACCCACTTCTGAGTGCTGAGCTACCCCTGGCTTCCCACTCTTCAGAGGCCCCTTTTCCAAATCCCCAACCCTCCACCACCACCAAACTCTGAGTTTCCTGTCTTTCCCATTTACCCTTTGCCCTCTCTCCTGGTGCATGCCTGGCAGTATTTTTTTTTCCAATTGTGGTGAAATGCGTAACATGAAACTTGGGATGCTAGCTCTGTGAGATGATGGTGGTGCTAAGTGCAGCCATCGCAGCTATCCATCTCCAGAGAATTCTTATCTGAAGCCACTGTACAGTCTTCATTCCCTTCTCTCCTAGCCAGTGGCCAACCTCATTCCACTCTCTGGTTTTATGAATCTGACCACTTTAGAAGCCTCCTATCAATGGAGTCAGACAGGATTTGCCGCTTTGTGTCTGGCTTCTTTCACTTAGCACACAGTGTCCTTAAGGCTAATCGCTATCAGCATGCATCAGAATTTGCTTCTTTTTAGGCTGAATAATATTCTATACTATGCAGCATATTTGACTTATTTGGTGGGTTGTTTCTACTTCTTGGTTTTTACCAATGAATGTGTCATAAATATGGGAACATAAAGATCACTTCAAGCCTCTGCTTCTGCTTATTTTGATTATTATGGTAATTCTATTTTTGGTAATTTGGTAATTCTATTTTTGAACCTGTTTTGCAGAGTGGTTGCACCATCTCACGTGCCTCACCAGCAGTGCACAAGGGTCTCCCTGTCCCTGTATTGTCACTTCTTATTTTCTGGCTTTCTGATGCTAGCCATCCTGCGGGGTGTTAAATGATATATCCTTCTGGTTCTGATTTGGTGAAGCAATACCATGGTTGCCTTTTTAGCAACCTGTGGGCAGTGGTGGGTTGAAGAATATGTAAGGGTCATGCCTGTGTCCCTCTGTCACCTGCATGAAGAGAGTCCTCTTATGGTCACTAGCCAGATGACTGAGACTAAAGTGGAAGTGAATAGGCAGGCATTGCCCACACTGCCATTCAGAGGATGGCTTCTCAGATCCAGGCATGGGCCTTCAGTGGCTGCACTGGACACAGGGGACAGTCTTTATGCTTCTCTCCTGGTATTATCATTTGCTTTCAGATGACCTTTAAACTATTCTTGAATAGTTAATGGGCCCTTGTCTGGGTCAAAATTGCCTATATCCTGCACCACCCATGAGCATTAGTTAGCAGTGGTAGTAATACTTTGGTTTGCTGAGAGGGTTCCATGTTGTGTGGACTAGGCTGTCCTCTAACTGGTAATCCTTCTGCCTCAGCTCCTTGAGTGCTGAGATGACAGATGAGCTTCCATACGCAGCTTCACATACTACTTGATCCCATAATACTTGACCTTGGTCCCCTCTTTTTTCTGAGTCAGACATCAGTGACCGATGAGAGAGCCCCCTTTGTTGGAAGTCTGCATATGGGTCTTGTACAGACCCCGGCATTGAGAACAAGCAGTGATGGGGTTAGGCCAGATGAGGCCTGGGTTGGAGGGGAAAGGACTGTATAGAAGGCAGAGCCACCATCCCAGCCCTACCATTTAGTCCGTGGCCCTCACTTTTCTTCTCCAGGGAACTCTGGGCCCCCCTAACTCAGGATTGCACCTCTAAAACATCATAAGTAGGAATCAAACTGATTCCATTAGTGTTTGTGAAAACCCCACAGAGTGAGAATGGTGATGTCAGTGATTCCCATTGGCCAGAATGAGACAGAAATACAAGGAATCTGGAAAAGATCCCTCAACCCCCTCAAGGCCTTGGAAAGCTGACATTGTTGATGGTTTAGTGTGGACCAAATTGAAAACAGAGGCATGGAAGCAGCCGCCAAGCCTGGCGAGGTCCAAGCCACAGGAACCATGGCGTCCAAAGGTCGTGCTGGGATGACTGGAGTCCTTCAAAAAAGGTTTCCGGGTGCAGCCTAGCTCCCCAATCTGTAATATGAGAGGACCCCAAAAACCCTTGTTTTCTGAGTGTGTGATTCTTCCCTTAATCCTAACCGAAAGGCCAAGAAGCATTAGGAATCTATGATTCTGGGGAGCTACCCAGGTGTGGCCAGGTCACTAGATATCTTAGTCAGCAAGTCCTTCAATTCTGGGATCATTCAGAAGGATTAGGGGATTAAGACCCAGGGAAGACCAGAGCCAAGGCTGGCAGTGACATAGTTTTCTGCTGACCAGAACTCTGGGTTTTGACTGTGGACCCCCTCTTCCAGCTGGGTGGCACTTTCCTGCAGGGCTGCAGTACTGACTCATGATGCTCAGCCCTCTGCCAGCAGCACAGAGGAGAAGAAATGGATGCTCCTTCAACATCCTGGGCAGAGCTGCTCTGTTTCAGGGGCCCCAGTCCACCTTGCTCCCACCTCAGTCTCTGTAGTTCCTCCTCTCAGTCAAGCAGAGGAACACTCCTCAAGGACCATGTCCTATTTTCCTATTCCCTGGCCCTCCTTCCCTTCCACTTGGGTACGGAGAAAGGACAGGACAAGGGTAGGGTTGGAGGACAGATGGTGGAAGCAGGAGGCCAGGGTGGTGGTGACCAGTGGGCATGCTCATTGCAGGAAACAGCAGCCTCTTTCAGACCGACCTCTGTCAGAAGCATTTGCCAGACCTGCCCCCCAGTAAGTGCCATAGTACCATTCCGGATACCCAAAAGGAGACCAGCAGCATGTGGAGCCTGATGGTAATTGCTCAGCTGCTGGCCGGCATTGGGACAGTGCCCATTCAGCCATTTGGGATCTCCTACGTGGACGACTTTGCGGAGCCCACCAACTCACCTCTGTATATCTGTAAGTCTTCAGCTTTAAGAGGGCTGTGGGGGTGGGGGATTCAGGGCTTGATGTGGCACCCTCCAAAGCTCCCAGGGCTGAAATGGCCCCAAGATCCTCTTGGCCCACAACATGGTGGATGATAAAGATAGGTCGTGCATGCAGGCAGTTTCCTTTCACTTGTATGAGCCTCCAATGGCTAGCCCAGGTCTTCAGGCTCTCACCTGGAGGACAGAGCCAAGATTCTTTGTGTGTACCATGTGCTTCGGGATCATAGGAGCTGATATGGTCACCATTTAGTCCTGTTTTGAGCCTTTGACACCATAACATGACATTGTGTTCTACCAAGTTTACACTGGAGGGCTATGCAATTGAGTTCTTGAAATGCAACAACAAAACACATGATGTCTTAAGTAAGTTTAAAATTTGCCCTGGGCCCCATTCATAACTATCCAGCAGATCATGTGGCCTCTGGGCCATAGGTTAGACACTCTGTTGATCCTTCACAGAATCACCCAGTTCTCCAGGCTCACACTGGGTGATATGCTACTCCTCCGAGCTGTGGACAGGTTGTCGTGTGCGAAGCAGGTAGCAGATGACCAACTGGTGCTTGCTTCCTTCCCTTAGAAAAGGCACATTGAGCTTTCTAGAGGCCTCGGGTCACAAATTGCATCTCTGGCTCCACCTTCACCTGCCAGAGCCCCCAGCACCGTGTACACAGACAGCTGTACCCACTAACACACCCTGGCCTGGCACTTTTAAGATACGGTGGAAGCAGGTTCATTCCAGGCCAGGAGGTCTCACTGGCAGGTGCTAGAGGAGCAGCAGGCTCAGTTCTGCCAGCCTTGGCGTCTGGCCCTTATCTGCAGGAGATGTGTAGGCATGGGCTGCGGGAAGTGTCAGAGGCATGGGCTCGTTATTCCCAAGGGTCAGTGGGTGATAGCCCAGGAATCTCCCTCACTTTGGGAGACTGAGGTTGCTCTACATTCTCAATGCCCCTCACCCCCTTATCCCTTGCTTCAATTCCCAGCCATCTTATTTGCTATTGCTGTGTTTGGACCGGCTTTTGGGTACCTGCTGGGCTCAGTCATGCTGAAGATCTTTGTGGACTACGGCAGAGTGGACCCTGGTGGGTATGCAGAGGACACGCCTCACTGTTACCACCATCACCCCCTTTTTCTGTTTGTTGTTGTTGTTGTTTTGTGTTTGTTTTTGTTTTGTTTTGTTTCTGAGGCAGGGTTTCTCTGTGTAGCTTTGGAGCCTGTCCTGAACTCTCTCTGTAGACCAGGCTGGCCTCGAACTCACAGAGATCCTCCTGCCTCTGCCTCCCAAGTGCTGGGACTAAAGGTGTGCACCACCATAGCCCTCTTCTTATCACCCTTTTACTAGGGCTTCTGATTTAGCTCCTTCCTCTTGGCTGCCTTCAGAGACCAGCAATGGGTCCATGTAGGACATTGCCTGTCACTGAATGATTGGAAACCATTCTGCCACTTTCCTTCAATAAAAGAAAGCTTCTGTGTCCATGTTTAATGTCAGGTGACATAATGGAGGTTTCTAGGTGGAGTATGGGGCATATTTTTAGGGAAACATTTGGCCTCTTTTGGAGGCCAGGCAACCCACCTTGTTGATGGCTATATCCCCAGGCAACTAAGAATTATAGGCCTGCCTTTTTTAGGGATCCGTAGAAGTAGCTTGTAATGGAGCTCAATGGTTAACAATACAGGTTGGGGTGAAGGGACCAGACCCTCATCCAACCCCCGGCTTTAGCAGCCATGACAGGCTGCAGAAAAGACCCAACAAGACAAAGGCCCCTGACTCAGCAACACGTGCTAAGTTTCTGACTTTGCCCGATCTTCCAGTCACTAGGAAGCCATATACCCTCCATGTGGCAAGGAACCAATCAGAAGTTAGCTGGCAGGCTCTGGATTTGCTTTATGGTAACAGTGGCATACAGAGCATAGCAACCGCCCTGGGAAGAACTATAGGCCAGAGCAACTAGTTGACCAGTCAACACAAGACAGGTCGCCCAAGCCCAGGAGTGCACCAATCCTGAGACTGTTGTAAACCCCAGACACTTTCCCTAGCTCTACCCCAATAAATTCCCTGCCCCACGGTCCTTCTGGGTCCTTCTCGCTTCACCCACCATGTTGAACAGATGGAGGACCCGAGTTAATACAGTTAACTTGTTAATTTATTAAAGACTCTTTGCCTTTGCATCAGATCAGATCTTTTGGTGATTTAGGGGTTCAGAATTTGGGAACAACAGGGGTGAAACAGGAAGACAGGCTTGAAATTGACTAATGGACCAAGGATTTGGTTTCCTGATTGGTTAGAGGGAGTCAGATGTGTGTAACTCTTACCCCACAGATATGCTAGAGGAGATGGTGGGATGCTGGAGGCAAACTGTGTAGTTCATGAACCATGTCAGCCCTCTGGGGACCAGATCATTTCACCATTATTCCTGCCAACAACTAGGGAAGAAACACAGTGAGAAGAGGGGTAGGGACTGGGGATTTTCTAGTATCTAGCTGTTTATCCAGTGGCTCTGGGTACTCTGGGAAGACCAGAAAGGCCTGGAAAGGGAGCACTGTGACCAGGGTCCTACATCATGGAGTGTCTTGTCACCATTATGAGAAGAAAGTCAGTGAAATACCCCTTGAACTGAATTTCCCTTTCTAGTCAGGAGAGATTGCATACATTCAACCAACAGATACTTCATCCTTTCATTTCTTTTTAGCTACAGTGAACTTGAGCCCAGCTGACCCCCGATGGATCGGAGCCTGGTGGCTGGGCCTGCTTATTTCTTCAGGCTTCTTAGTTGTTACTTCTTTGCCTTTTTTTTTCTTCCCTCGAGCAATGCCCAGAGGAGCAGAGGTAAGTTTCCCAGAGCCCAGGGAGTTGGAAAATAAACAGCTGGGAAGCTGCAGCTGCTCCAACAAACTGAGTGAAATGATGACCAGTCTCAGGACACAAGGCTCATCAGAGACTGAGAGGAGGTGCCCCTCAGTGTTCTCTTACCATGCTGTCATCTCAAGCACCAGAGTAGCTCCAGGGAGCCTAGTTTAGGGTTCTCCTAAACAGGGATAACAATGAACAGTGGGATGGGGTGGAGATAGGGAGGTAACTCGTCCATGAAGTGATTGCCATGCAGATGTGAGGGCGGGAGCTTGATCCCCACAGCCTCACTTTCTAAAAAACCCAAACATGGTGGTGTGCAATTGCAATCACAGTGCTGGGGGAGCAGAGAAAGGGAGGATTCCCTGGGGCTTCCCAGCCACCCTACATGGGGAGCTCCAGGCCACTTAAAGACCTTCTCTTGAAAAAATCAAAATCAAGATGGCTGGTGCCTGAAGGATGACACCCAAGGTTGTTCTCTGGCTGGCACATAGACACACACACACACACACACACACACACACACACACACAACCTGAGCAGGTGGTGAGGCACAGTCGACCTCTACATTTAATAGAGTTTCCTAAGGTTTGAGCCTGAACGCCTGTGTGAAAAGGGGAGTCTGAGGCATAAAGGGTTGAGTCCAGCATGTTTTGACAGGGTCGTATCTGCTGGGGAAAGGAACGAGGAAGTTAAGAATGGGAAGCAGCAAAGAGGAGGCTGAATAGGGCCTTTATATGGATTGAAATACTTAATGTTTTCTCCAGTGAGTTCCAGACACCTAGTGACAATATGGCAGTAGGCTGAGGTTGGGGTTCATGAAGGAATGGAAATTGGAGATCTGAGAGGCTCAAGGGAAAGATGAAAAATACAGCTGAGGGCCAAGGAAATGGCCCTCAGAGCGATGAGGCAAAGGACAGGCTGTTTGTTTCTCAGAAGGGTGATGCAAAGATTTGGTTGTGAATTGGGTTGGAACTCAAGCTTTGTGTCAGGGATTTGAGACAGAAATGGGCCCCACTGTGGGAAAGGGGGCATGGGTAGAGGCCCAGAGTTTATCCCAGGAAAGCATTTAAAAGCTGATGGCATATTTTGATGGGCTGAGTTGGACAGATCTGAGCTTGAAGACTGTTCCAGTCATAAGCGAGTTGGATGATCTTAGACAGGTTGCTTTGTTTCTAAGCTTCCTCTCTTGTAAAGGTCTTGGGGGTAAGTAGAGAATCTGCCTGGGAAGGAGCACAGCAGGTGCTCAGTTAATGGGAGCACCAAAGGATGCTAATGGCAGAGCCCACGCCTATGTCTATGCAGTGGCTCAGAGGCCTAGGGCCTCTGTCTGGAGCTGCTGGCTTCAGAGACTGGCGAGGGCACTGAGGTAATATGCCCAGAAGGCACAGGTAACAGTTAGGACAGAGTCTGGAGCAGGACTCACCTTTGGGCTGAGGAGAAAGCGCTGGCGCTAGAGAGGACACAGAAAGGAAGAGCTGAAAAGAGCAGACGTTGGAGACTCCTGTTATTCTAGAAGCCAGCCACCCCTGGAATCTGCATGTGGGACACAGTGTAGTCATGGCATAGAGACACGGGGTAGGATCCAGGATGATGCTTTTGGCATCAGTCATGGGAAAGTCAGATGAAATAACATGCCCATAGGTGTTGTGGGAGGCGTTGGCATGGATTAGCTCTGGTCTCCAGCCAAGGCACCAGGCTCATTAAAGCACAGGTGGTGTTTGCTTCAAGAGAGCATCCTCAAGATGCCCTCCCATACACACATGTGATCCTTGAGCCGCTGAGAAGAGAGAGTCAAGGGCTCAGGGATGGGCCATTAACATCACCATGTTTGCTGCCTTCAGAGGTCTGCTATCACAGACGAAACAATGACGATGGAGGAGGACAAGCCAAGAGGCTCCCTGATGGATTTCGTTAAACGTAACTGACTGCCCCAGCAACCTTGGGTGGGTTGGTTCTGGGTGGTAGGGGGCCAGGTTCAGGGTAAAGGACAACAAGAAATAAGATCTGTGACTGCCTCACCTCCCGGGTGCCCCCTCAGTTCAGCGGGCTTCTGCCAATGCTCCTGGTGGCTGGTTCTTTACAGGTACCAGTAGCCCCTAATTCAGACAGAGCAGTCACCACCCCAAGCCTCCACTTCCACTCTCTCCTCTTCACTTCCTGCAGAGGTGGCAGTTGTGGGAGGAGGCCTTTCCCAGTGTGAGTTCTATTTCTAGTTACCCAACACCAGCATCTTCTTAGTCAGACCACAAGTGTGGTGAGTGGGAATCCAAGGACCGTGTGCCCCTGGGATGACTGCTGGGAGTCTGGAGGTCTCTAATTCTACCCTGAGGAAGAGAGGAAGCTTGCCCAGAGGAAGGTTAGGGTGGTGGCAAGGCTCTAGGAAGTATGTGATGCTCTTCCCAAGGCCTGTCCCCTGACAGCCATCTGCCTGCAGGATTCCCTCGCATCTTCCTGAGGCTGCTGATGAACCCACTCTTCATTCTGGTGGTCCTGGCTCAGTGTACGTTCTCCTCTGTCATCGCTGGCCTCTCTACATTCCTCAACAAGTTCCTGGAGAAGCAGTATGGCGCCTCTGCAGCCTATGCCAACTTCCTCATCGGTGTGTCAGAGGTTGCTGCTGCAGGGCCTGGGTGGTGCTCCCCTGGGGAGGAGCTGGGCACCGTGCAGTCCATCCAGGGATAATTCGGGGTCAGACCGGATACAGACAGGAGACAGGAGGGCTTGCCCAAGAAAGAATTTTAAGGATATTTTTCCTGGTTGGCAATCCAGAATGTTTTTGGCAGGTTTCTGAGGCTCCTATTCTTCTCTTCAGAAGTGGGTGGAGACTGGGGGACTGCCTTCCTTCCCATCAAGAGGGTGGGGATCTGATAGCCTCCCAACTGACCTTATCAGGGACAACAAAGGAGAGAGGGAACATGGAGCTTGAGAAATACAAAATGCCTCTTAAGGGGTTTCCTTCTCCAGGAACTTGAGTCTCAACCCTGTAACACGTCAGGTTCCTTTACACAATGGCAGTGCAGATGCTCAGCCCTGCCCAGATTCATGAACCCAGAACCTATGAGGCAGTGCTCATTCGTCTTTCAGTAGAAGCTAAGTACCATCGATGGGGGTCCCACCAAGTGCTCAACCCATAGGTGAACTTGACCACACACATAGATTTGACAAGATAATCAGGGCATGATATGTGACGATGCCTCCCTGCACTTACTGAGCTCTGGTATAGGCTTTAGATATGACACCATTTCTCTCCCCTTCAGTCTCAAACCAGGGGTTACCACCCGAGAATGACCTACTTCCTTATCCTTATTGTCACCCTCTTGATTTCAATTTTGTTTCTTTGAGACAAGGCCTAGAGTAGCCCAGGCTAATCCCGAACTTGCTAGGTAGGTGAGGATGACCTTGAATTCCTGGTCCTCCTGCCTCTGCTTCCCAAGTGCTGGGATTATAAGTGTCAAAAGTTGACTGCTTCTTCCTTCTTTGATTGGGCAAGCCAACCCTTTAGTGAAAGGAATTCTCGGGGCCCAGGCAACACTCAGCAGTTAGCAATACTTGGTAGTCAGCCACTACTATTGCACTTGAGTATACCCAGTGTTCCTTCATGAAGCCGTGCTCCTCGCTGGTGGTACAGCTCAAGGCTCACAGACTGTGCCTCCAGCCCCTCTCCTTCTCACCTAGGTGCTGTAAACCTTCCTGCTGCTGCCTTGGGGATGCTGTTTGGAGGAATCCTCATGAAACGTTTCGTTTTCTCTTTGCAAATCATCCCCCGAGTGGCTGCCGCCATCATGACCATCTCCATAATCCTCTGTGCCCCTCTCTTCTTTATGGGGTGTTCCACCCCAACTGTGGCTGAAGTCTACCCCCCCAGGTAATGAACTAAGGGATGCAGAGATACCCCTTGTAACCACAGCCTGAATCCAGCCACTATGTGTCTTTCTTTTCTGCCTCTCTCACCTCCTCCACCCTATTCACTTGGATCTGATCTCTCAAATGCTAACACAGAAAACCAGGTCTCTAATAGTCTGGTCTCTATGAGACCAGACCAGCTGGTGGTCAGGGTTAGGTTTCTGTTTTGTAAGAAGCATCAGAAACTAGTCACTTTGGTTTCTGGATGAGCCTGAGCCCTAGGAACCAGGAAATAAGTTATGGTTAGTGCCAGCTCTGGGCCAGCTAGAGTTAGAGCCTTGCTGAGCTGTCGAAGAAAAGATGAGAGAAGACTTGAAAAGATCTCGGATGAGCAATGAAAATGGGGCAGGGAGGCAAAGGGCAGGTCAAAGTGCCAGTCTGTTTGCATAAAGCAGCATGAAACACGCGTTTAGAGTCGAGTTTTATCTTTAGAAAAGGTGTTGCAGCCCTGTGAGCAAGGAACGTGCCCATCCCCCACGCCCTCTCACCCCCTACCTCCACCCCCAGCTCCAGTAAAGGCCATGCAACCTTTTCTTTAGGACTTAGCCTAAGGAGTTTGCAGATTTGAAGACTCAGAACCTTTTAGCCCCTGTGTGTTCTGTTTCTCATAGAGAGCTACATCTCCAAATATAGCAACAGCACCAGGCAAAAGCCAAAAGAATAGTTTGAGATGACCGCTGTGTTTGATGGGTGATGGAGGGGAAGGGTAACAAAGGAAGAGGATGTTCCTTAGCATGGGGGATTCACCACTCTTCTGCAGGCTGACTGTGGACCCAGAGAAGCCTGAAAGCTTTGGGGCCTTCCTTTGGGTGGTTTTCACTGGGAGTTTGGTCCAAGCTCTGTCATCTGCTTGGCCTGAGTTCTCGGGATGATGTTCTTTGTTGCTATGGGCACATTATCTACTTAGGTTATCGTTTTCTTATCTGCATAAGAAGTATAATTTGTTCTAGGCTTACCAAGGGTGACTGCTCATGAACAGCCCATTCCGTTGTGATATCCCATAAATGCTAACAGCTACTGGGATTGTTTCATTAATGCACTGCTCAGCTGTGGTTTGTCAGTCCCTGTCACAACATCCCCAAAGAAGATCAATAAGAGCCATTGAAATCCACTTTAATGAAGTTCTGGCTGGGATGGGGAATGGACTAGGGAGACCCAGATCAGCAAGTCCATATTGATTCAAGAGACGAGCAGTCAATGAGAACCCCAGATTCCTCCAAAGATCCCAGCCACTACCTTTAGCCAGAACCTAGCCGGAAGATGGGAGAAGGCAAATATTACCAATGACGTTACTGGGGCATCAACCATTTCTTTCAACAGAGTCTCAATCAGTTGGTCATTTTGACTCTGACAGTGGCCGTGGGATTTGCTGGCTAGACCTTTCCAACTGAGTACTTGGTGGGTTTGGGCTCCAAGTGTCAGGATAAATGGAAAGAGCCATGATTTCCAAAACAGTGGCAGATTCACAACTGGCTCCCATGGGCTCAGTTCAGATCCTTGGGTGGCACTGGCCCAAAACAAACAGAGACATGCAGGCACATCAGCCAGGCCAGGAACTCGTGCTGGGCTGGAGTATAGTGCTGTTTCTTGGCCTTGCTTTGTTTGATTCCTTGCTTCCTGTTTCTCTGGCAGGACATCAAGTTCTATACATCCACAGCCTCCTGCCTGCCTCAGGGATTGCTTGTGCCCAGATTCCATCTTCCACCCAGTCTGTGGAGACAATGGAGTCGAGTACCTCTCCCCTTGCCACGCCGGCTGCAGCAGCATCAACATGAGCTCAGCAGCTTCCAAGCAACCGGTAAGGACAGGGGTCACAGGGGCAGACAGAGCCATGTGGAGCTTCGGGGATCAGGGTGTAACCTCAAGAACTGCTCCTTGGCTCTGGTACTCAATATCAGCATCCTAGCCTCCTCCACCCTCTCTCCACCTTCCATGCCCCAGGGTCATGACCAGATGCCTGCAGCCCAGAATCAATTAGAGACTGGCCCATGACCAACAAGTTCATTCTTGGGGACTTGGCAAAACAACAGAAACAAGTCAAAGTATTTGCCCTCGATGGAGACTTGTGACTGATACTGATGGCTCCCTGGGGGGCACTTCTGGGTTCTGGGTTCCGGGTTCAGGCCATGTTGCAGGGTCACATGGTCTGGGGAGCAGGGGGACTCTGAGATGTGGACCTGAAAGGTCAGTGCTGGAAGCAGCAGTCAAGTGCCTTTGCTTCACCCCTCAGCTCCTAGGGGCCACAGAGCTAGACTGAAGCCATGAAGCTATTTAAGAGCAAACCTGGGATTAGAAGTCAAAGCTCTGCCTCACCTGGTGTTCAAGACCACATGTCTCCTTTGTGGGCAACATACAGGGGCTTCATGCATCAGTCTGTGAGGATAGCAGCCCCATTAATCTGTGAGGACAGTGGCCCTGGGACTTCCGGGTTCAGCCAACAGCAAATGACTCCTGTAGTCATTTATTAGTCAAAAAACAGAACACACTGAATGTAGCCACCATGCTGAGGATGAGGTGGTGAGCCTATGACACAAAGCCCCGTTCTCAGGGTTTGCATTCAGTATAATAAATGCACAAGATAATTGCTGAGATGAAAGGGAAGACACTCAACAGCACAGAGAGTATCTGGGGGGACTTTCTGAGACGACTTACCCCTGAGCCAACAGCAGAGGAATCCTATGGAAATCTGAAGCCCATTGCAGGTAAGGGAAGCTAGGTACACAGCCCAAGTAGGGATTAAGAGAGGAGTGTCACAGCTAGCAGGGCCAGGTAGGCCCAGGGCTGGGCAGGGCTAGGCAAGCCAGGCTTAGGAGGTAGAGGATCTTCCCCCAGTGAGAGCAATAGGAAGTCTACGCCATTACCATAGGATGCACCAATAGGAAGAATGCACTTGTGTGGAGGCCATGGGCCAGGCTAGCTCCCACTTACCACCTCTTGTGAGGAGACAGGACAAGGCTGCTTCCCCATCTGCCGCTATGGGCAAAGCCCCGTGGCTCTCAGACAGAGAAGGATGAGGAGCTGAGACAAGATGGTCCCTTAATTTACCTTCTAACTGGGAGAGCAGTGGCTTCTGTGGTTTTCTTATCTTTATTTACTTACCTCTGACTCATCTACTTCCAGAAATAATCTTGACAAGCTTCCAATAACAGCACAAGCACAACAAGATAAAATCCATTACCGTGATATCAAGGAAAAAATAATAAATTATAAGGGGGGAAAGTCTTGATAGTTTAAAAATCCAGGCCGAGGGAGGTAACAGCAATACTGTACAGTATAAACTTCTGAGCTTGAGAGCCAAGGTAGAGTAGGAGGAGCATGGGCCTCACTGTCTGACAGAGGGAAGCATCCCAGCCCACTAGTTCACATAGATAGCTCCATGACAGCCATGGCACCAACATCATCACAGGCTGGACCATCAGACACTGAAGGGGAAGGTCAAGATGACCAGATGAACAGTGGCCCCCAAATGATGAGCGGCGGCCACCAGATGAGTTGTACAATGGTAGTGAGCCATATACGATTATAAGGAGTCCCTCTGGAGACCCCTCTTAGGCTAAAGGAAGCCTCCTCTGTGAGAAGTGCTGCAGGGGGTTCAAATGACTCCGTTGTTGTTTCCTGGGCTCCTTGAGTATATCTTTTCCTGTAAAAACTTGCACAACCACCATAGCCGGCTGGGCCCAGAGGAGAGCTCTCCCAGGCTCCAGGCGCCTCCTAGCTGAGGGTACTTTGCCTGGTGGTGGGATCTTGGGCATCTGGATGTGGGGAGACTGCAAGGTTTAGCCCGTGCTGGACTCTTGGTGAAGACTGTTTCTAAACCCAAGCAGGGAGAGAGGTGGTATCCCACAGAGTACTCAAGAACCCTCATCTGGCCTCTCGGTCTTCGAATCCAGGCTTCCCCTCCTTCCCTGGGGACTGGAGGGCAAAGGGGTTCATGCTGGTGGGAGTCTGTAGCAAGAGCCTGTGTGGATGTTTGAAGCATGTGGAAGTGAAATCGTGACAGACCCCCTCCCATTCTCCTTCAAGAGCTATTTGAACTGCAGCTGTGTGACTGGAGGATCTGCGTCAGCAAAGACAGGCTCGTGTCCTGTGTCCTGCGCACACTTCCTGCTGCCGTCTACCTTTCTCATCTCCTTTGTGGCGCTCATTGCCTGCGTCTCCCACAACCCTCTCTACATGATGGTTCTCCGGTGAGTGGTGCCTCTGAGTCTCTGGCTGCTGCTTCTCCACCCTCCCTTTGAGGTTACATCCTGTCTCCCATTTACAGTCTCTCCTCCCTCTCCTGGCCCTGGAGGTCTTAACCGTAACCTTCAATGATGACAAGGCAACAGAGTGCGCTAACGGCAGGTATTCCTGGTTCCAGGGGGAGCTCCTTGTCAGGTGGCCTCACTCAGGGGGCCAGCACCCATGAGGCACAGGCCCTGTTGACACCTCTTCTATTCATGGGAAATTAAGTCATAGTTCAGGATGGCAGAACCATCAAAAGGCTGAGCCTCGGGTTACAGACAGGCTATGCATACAGATTCACTTGTTTTTCAGTCTTAAAAGAAGCAAGGATACAGAGGAGAAATCAGCCGGATGCACAAATAGCAAGTTAGAAACTGAGGAAAGTTCCAGAAGCAAAGTGAAAGCTGTGGGAAAGGCAGAAAAATGAGAAAACCACAGAAGTCTATAGACCCAGTGCTCAGGTTGGAAGAGGCACACTGGCCAGGGACAAGGGAGGTATCTAGTTGTAGCTGACAATTGAGCACCTCTAAGGTTTTTATAGCGGGTGCTTCTCCTTTGCCTCATTGTACCGAGGGGAAAAAAAAAAGAAAATATATCACAGCCAGGTTACCTGATCACCTCCTGCCTGCCTCCTTGTATTCCCTTCCGCCCGTCCCCATCTGCTTATTTGGGAAGCAGAAAAGGAAAAACACAGAGACTGGAAACTCCCTGTCAGATTCAAAGTCTCTGCATTATACTACCTGAGTGTCCTTGGGAATTGCCTGACCTCATGAGCCTCCGTTTCCTTGACTAGGGAAGGACAATTGAGATCCCCGCCTCCGAGTGTTAGTGTCAGTATTATAGGGTCAATGACTTTGTAAACAGAAGGTGCTCTGCTGCGTGTAGCCGTGTCCCCTATAAACCCGGGATTCAGGAGGTGAAAGCCTGAGGATAAGGAGTTCAAGGTCATCCTTGCCTACATAATAAGTTAGAGGCCAGCCCAAGTGACATGAGAACCCTCAGTGGTTCTCAACCTGTGGATTTCAACTCCTTTTGGAGCTGAACAAGCTTTTCACGGAATTCACGTGTGACCATGAGAAAACCCAGATATTTATATTGTGATTTATAATAGTAGAAAAGCTACAGTTATGAAGTAGCAATGAAAATAATTTTATGGTTGGGAGTCACCACAACATGAGGAACTGTATTAAAGGGTCAGGGCATTAGGAAGATTGAGAACCACTATCCTACCTCAAAAAGGAGGTAGGGGGTGGTTTTCTCCATATTACTTTAGACCTATTTCACCCAGAAGGTTAAGAGATGAGGGAGCACCAGATGCTATGCCAAGCATGTAATTTAGTGACAAAGCACTTGCTCAGTGTGTGTGAAGCCCTGGGTATGAGCTCCAGCACTAGGAGAAAATGAAGCAGCTGCTAGTATTTTACCCTATCCAAGTCAGTTCTCTGTCAAGTTAGTCCACAAGCTGCCAAAGACCCTGTCACTCTCACTATTTCCATGACGCTGGCAGATGATAAGGAATTCTCGTGTTAAAAACAAAAGATATCATTACAGCAGAAAGCCGCCTATCCCCTGCAGTTGTCGTGATTATCCTTGTCCTCCAGATCCTTCAGAGATGGCACACGGATCCAAATGTGTGCTTTGTGTGCAGCAGGCTTACGTTCCAGCATGAGAGAGCTGCTGCTTACACAGTGAGCCATGAGCGAGCTCCAGAGCATGCCTCAAGGCTGCTCCCTGCAACCACAGCCCAGGGAAATGGCCCAAAGGCAGCAGTCAGGACCCTATGATCTCAGTAAGGATGGGTATGAATGCCCGGAGCTGGCAGCATGATGCCGCCCTCCCCCCAAATTCTGTCACATTCTTCCTTCCACCTTTGCCCTGGACTCTCCACCCTGTGTGTGAGATCCCCCGCTTTCCACTCTCCAGCTGAGGAGGGAGCTCTCAAGGGAGAACTGAACCTCTTTACCTGGCCTTGCCTTCTCCCTCTTGAAAGAGGAAGGGTGGAAGGCGGGACCATGCACAAAATTGTGAATTATTAAGAATTTCAAGTCATACATAAGCTAAAGCTGGACCTTTCTGGGGGTGACATCCTATGCAGCTGTTCAAATCACACTTCACAAAACCCGCCCAGGGCAAGGAATTTTTTTCAGAGCTGCACAGAAGCTGAGATCGCAGCACCCTCTTTTCCTGGTATAAGACATACTATGGGTGTTGTTCAGACCTGCTGCCTAAGCGTCCCGCCAGAAATTCCTGTCCACTCCCTGTCTCTCTCGCCTGTTTTCTCTCCAAGCAGTCTCTGGAAAGCTCCGCAAACAATAAGGACCATTGGTTCTTGAACTCAAGTTTGCATCCAGCTCTCCTGGAACATTGTATGTCTTGAATAAACGTCAGGCTGAAAATCTGTAGTTTGAATACTAGTTAGCCTAGTTGATGTCTCTGCTGCAGCCACAGTGCTTTCAGAGCCGTGGGTAATAGGAGGCTTTAGCCAGGTGAATCTCACCACCAAATGCCTGATCAGACTACAGCAGGACTGGCTCCGACCTGTTCTGAGTCTGTCTGTTCCCAGCATCTCACTCCCTCCAGGTAATGCTGTAGCCCAGTGTCCTCCCAAAGTACTTCTGGTGCTAATTTCCTGTTGTCCTTTTCAGTGTGGTGAACCAGGATGAAAAGTCATTTGCTGTTGGGGTACAGTTCTTGTTGATGCGCTTGCTAGGTAGGTAACTAAGATCTTTCCTTCTGGTGTAGAAGCCCTGGACCACGAGCATGGAAAGGCTATGGGGGGCAGGCAGGGTCGGCTATAGGGAGTTGTGTATAACCAACAGCACATACCAAACCCCAACTAGGACGGACAGTTTGCCTAATTGCTTGAGATCAAGAAAGATTTCGTCTACGGCATTCAAGTCAAACTAAATTATGTAAGAAAAAGAAAAAAGGGCATAGCTGAGAATACTGAATACAGAGTTAAAAGCAGGTATTTTTAAACCTTCTCCAAGAATCTGCCCTAGGAAACAAAATCTTGCATTCCTGCCCCAGACAGAGCAGCTTCTGAGCTGAGCCTTGGCACTCTGCCCATTTTCCAGACTTAACTCCTCTGCCATGGTTCAGCAAATGTCTGTTCTGTCAGGGGATCCTCCGCCTATGAACCCTGTCTGTCTTCAGGTAGCCTGGCACTCCTCATCTCAACACTCAAGCTGTGCTCATGCACACGATCAGCAGAGACCCATAGGGAGAGAGAGCTCCCATGGGAGCAGGAGGCAACTGGCTTTCCCGGAGTACAGGGACTGGGGGGTGAGGGGACACATTGCAGGTGCTGTCCCAGCCTTCCTACTCTGCGCAGCCCTTTGACACCTTTGACACGTTGCATGCATTAGACTGAACACAAGGCACTAATATGGAGGTCTTGCTGTGTTGGGTGAACAAAAGGAAAGAGACTAAATTCAACAGAGGATCTGTGTACTAAAAAGTGGGGGGGGGCGGGAATTTGGAGATCCCAGCCAGAAGAACTTAGTTACTATAAATGTGCACCTTCCTGACTTAACACTGAAACCTATATGGGCCTGCTGTGCATTTTTAAGCAGGGGTACAGGTCACATCCATTAACCTTCCAGCATGTGCCATCATCCCTCCTGAGGCCAGCTGGGCAGAGTCTGAGCCAGCATTTCAATGGAGTTTCTTGGCCTCAAGCCACTGGTCCTGTGATGAAGTCCCTTTAAGTTCCAAAGAACCTCCATTAACACTAAATGATGACTGTGACCTTCCTGGGTCACACAGGGGACACAGGGTATCTTGTCTGGGCAGAAACTGGTTTGTCAGCACAGCTCCTTGTGTTCATTTATGATTTACCATCGATAGCTCATTTATAGCTTCTAATGCCCTGGCTGGGAGAGACTGGCATTCCTCCCAATTGATCTCCTTCCCTGCTTCTATGTGTGCCCTAGAGAATGGCCTCTGGGTCCCTCTGCTCCAAGCACTTCCTGCTTCCTGCTTTGAGCTCAGATAACTCAGTGTGGGACCACAGTTAAAGAACTCAGGCCTAGAGGAATTCCACTCACTGCTCACGAATACAGCTCCACTCTGGGGTAGATGAAAAGCCTATTTACAGACTCCAGCGGGTTTACAGTCACCACTGAGATGTGTTGAAAGCTCTCCTTGACTTCTATTTAGGGATGTGTTGCCAGGGTCAGTTTCCAGCCACCTTTTACCTGGAAACTGGAAAGTGACCAGTGGCTGAGAAGCTGTGTCCTAAAGTTTCTCACTTATGGGTGGGACCCCCGGGCTGGATTGCTTTCTTCCAGAAACAGCAACTCACAGGGTGTAGATAGTCAGGTGTTTTCAACATCATGTTCCTGAGTATGGGATGGCCCATCCCCAGTGTCAACCCAGGACAAGTCTATCCCAACCCACTGGCTGCCCAGAATTTAGAAAACAACACAGGGCGTGGTGGGGTTGGGTAGTGGATATCTAGAATATTCAGCACCATGCTTGCTGGACTACATAGACATTACCACTCAGGTGCTGGGACATTTGGCAGCCTAGGTTCTGAGCAGCTGGGGTATTAAGGGTCTCCAAGGGGCATTGTCTAATCCAGAGGGGCAGTTTGGAGTGGAAGAAGAACATAGGATTTGAACTTCAATGAAGTAGAGTTCAGTGCATCCTTGGGCCCTCTTGCTCATTTGCTCTTCATTGCAATGAAGCCACCTGGAGGCCACATGAGAGCTTGGGGACATTAGTACTCTCCAGATGGAGTCTCTACTTGGGCCCAGCCTTGAGCACAAGACTGAACAGTGCAGTGTGGGCAAGCTGACATCAGGTTGACCCTGTGATTCATTCTGCCCTGAAAGGATTCCCATTTATCTCCTAAGCCTTCTGGTGAAAGGGGATTCAAGCTTCACCGAGTTTTCCGCTCTCCCAAGTCACTGTGATTCCCAGGGCGAGGTAGAGTTGGCCTCAGATGTGACTGTGCCATTGGTGTGGGGGACCCGGGCATCTCTGACTACAACTCCACGTGACCCAGATGCTCTGGATTCTTTTTCCCATTGTTGCCAGCCTGGCTGCCATCTCCAGCCCTGTATGGTCTCATCATCGACTCCTCCTGTATCCGGTGGAACTACCTATGCTCAGGGAGACGAGGGGCCTGCTCATATTATGACAATGATGCACTCCGAAACAGGTGAGGGCTCACACACACACAGGTATCTAAGAGATCAGGCCTGTGGCCCCAGCAGACCAAAACAAAACAAACCAACAAACAGAAAACCAAACAGGCATTTGCCTCATGGCTATGGCAGGGGCTGTCAGCCTTATAAGGGACAAGGAGGGATGTCTTTGCAAACTCTGCCATGGACAGAGTGTAGGGGCCAGCATGGGAGGCATTTGGAAACCTGTAAGGAGCCAGTCAAGTAAGGAGACAGGGAGTCTGCATTGAGGTGTCCCCTGAGGTTCTGTCCCTCAGCCCATAGCAGCAGAAGAGGTTCACCAAAGGTAAAGGGGTGCCTGAAGGCTGAGGGAGATTATGAACGTGAGAGGAGAGAGAGGGGAACCATAGCATGGCACCCAGCAGAGGTCCCAGGAAGAGGGTCCCACTTGGTATGCCAGTGAGCCAAATCCAGCCGTCTCTCCTGTTGCTGCCATTCCATCATCTACAAACAGTGGAGAAGGTGGCAAGGCCTAGTACTGAGGACTGACAGAGAAGGCCAGCAGAGGGACATCAGAAAGATACAGACCCTCTGGACACAACTGGGGCAGTAGTGTCACCTCTGGCCTTTAGTGGTACCACTGGAGGGCCAGGGAATCACTAGTGTTGTATGGATGTCCAAAGTGACCCCCCCCAATACCTGGGAGGTGACAGCTTGTTATCTGAGTGACAGTTTTCACAGCTCCTAGGCCACTGTGGAACCAATGTTCATCTTCTTGCTGTCCCTGGTCCAGGCACATGGGCTAAGGAACCCTCCTCCCTCACCATTCCTGTCTCTTCTTGCCTTATAGGTACCTGGGCCTGCAGGTGGGCTACAAGGTCCTGGGCACACTGCTGCTCTTTTTCATCGGCTGGAGAGTCAAGAAGAATAGGGAATATAGCCTGCAAGAGAACGCCTCGGGCCTCATCTGACCCTTGGTCAGGCTACTGCAGTCTCAGAGACTGTGTTAACTAATGTTAATGTGCCTTTTCCTTAAGTCCTTCCTTCTTCCTTCCTCCCTTCACTCCTTCCTTTTTTTTTTTTTCCACCTGCCTCCTCCTCCAAAAGTCTCCAGCATGGTTCTTGAGGCCTGACATGTACTGAGCTGGAATGAGAACTGAGCTGGAGGGTTCAGTTTCCCAAACTCCCGGGAAGGGGTCCCCCACATAGGCAGGCTCTCCTCAGCACTGGGTCCTCCAACAAGATGTCCATGAAGCAGCCCCTGCTCTCACCAGCCTCTCAGGAATACTTAAGAAGTGTGAGAAGGGGGCTCCGTGCCTTTGGTGCCAGGTGGCCCAGCTCTCCTCTGACCCCACAGCCTGCCCAGAGGCAGAGTGAGAGGAAGAGGAGGAGGTGATTGGTTTCTTAACAAAGACATGGCTACGGCCACTTTTTATCTGGATTCAGCCTAACGTGGAACCCAGGATGGGCTGGCTCCCTTAGATTCCTCTCTGTCCCCGAGGCTGATTTGGAAGCCACCATTTTGGGAAGTACAGGCCTCTCTATTACCTACCCCCTGGTATCAGAGCAGGAACTACAGAACCAGAGGTCATCCAAACACTGTTCATATGAGCCTGCAGCCTCTCTACTCTCCTAACAGCATATGCTTCTCTCTGCCTCTCTGGGGTTGCGTTTCAAACTGAGAAAGCCACAGGAGAAGACCTAAGGAGGGCCCAGTCTCCCACCCTCACAGTGGAGAGCAGACCCTTCGCATTCAGAGACATGAGAGGCCCTCCCCCCACCGTTCCCTGGAATCAGAAGAGTAGCCTCACATGGACTTCACTGTCTGGACTTCAGCCCATATGCAGAGGAGCAAAGAAAGCCATCTGAGATGCAGCCAGAGCAAGCGATGGAGCAGAGTGGATGTCACCTGTCGCTGTGCTCAATGGCAAGCTGCAGCCAGGTTGGCTTGCTTGCAAACACATTGTATTCATTGGCATTTCTCCGCTTCTTCTCACTACCTCTGAGCGGAGGTGGGCACCTTCTGTGGGCCTGGGCTGGGGGCCACCACTGTTACACAACAGAAGGGCAAAGGCAGAAACCCAGGGAGGAAGGAAGGAAGGAAGGAAGGAAGGAAGGAAGGAAGGAAGGAAGGAAGGAAAGAAAGAAAGAAAGAAAGAAAGAAAGAAAGAAAGAAAGAAAGAAAGGAAAGAAGGAAGGAAGGAAGGCTTTTTACCAACGATTCCGTTTATTGGACTCTGAGATGGTGCTTGGCAGTGATACTCCACAGTTCTCTGAGAGCACTCCTGGAAATCTTACCTCCATTCATCCTAGGGCCTCCTCCCAGAGGGCACTGGATGGGCAGCAGGGACACATTCACATACCAGCCAAGCATATCAAGCACCCAGAGATTAGCAGAGAAGATCCTGATATGACCACCCATGCCATTTAGGGCTCACAGATTGACTGTGCACCTGACCCTGTGTGAGATGGAGAGCTGGCTCACTGTGTCCCTGAAGCAGCCTGGCAATTGTCATTGCCCTATGTGACATTTAATTGCCTTCCAGAAATGCCTTATACCGTGAGAAGCCAAAAGGTTTATGTCAGTGTGTCAAAGCTGCTGTCACACTGAAGTCTTTGAGGAAGTCATCGTTACTGACAGTGCTCTTTCTGAAGCCACCAGGTTTTTTCCACAAATCTTACTTAGGAGGAGGCTCCACGCAACCTCATGGGCCAGTTCCAGCATGTGCCATGGTCCTGCTTAGAACTTGATCCTCTGCACCTAACCCTGGGCTCACTCACTGCAATTTAACCAGAAGACATGGCTGTTAGCCCACCTCATGAACAATGAATGCCAATCTTCGGGTTCTGAAAGATTGGCTATCCCCACAGCCTTTATTCTATTATATTGCTATTAATATATTATAATTTTGTTATGGGTGCAAGTGGGTCATGAATTTGTGTTGCCATGTGTCTATCAGAAAGCAGACAGAATCTGTACCTTCTAGACAAACGAAGTACCCATGCTTCAACCTTTAGAGGCCTGTAGCCAAGGGCACTGGAGGCCATGTCACTCTCCATCCATCTCCTGGGTGCTGAGTAGGCCCCAAGTATTGATTGTTATTGTGTGGACCCTTGGCTTGCTTTCCATGCAGGCCAGTGTCAAAGGCCCATGAGAATGGGCTCTTGTGAGGCCCAGTCACTGCCCTTGAGTTCATATCCAGAAGAGGGGTTGGTCACAAACAACTATATCCATGAATACCGTAGTCAAAGTTCATCATTTACTATTATCTAGCAAATCTTGCCTCTCAAATACCAGAGGGGCTATAAGGATTTCACTTGCTTTTCAATTAGAGAGCGAAGTGCTATACACTTTGACTGTACCATGCTTGAGATTACTGTTAAAATTCAGGAACACCCTACACAAAGCCTGAGTCCATATCTGTGCTTATAAAAGGGATCCAGAAAGTCCACTTTCCAGGCAGATGGAGGTAGCCCTCAAACCTTGTGTGGTGGGTCACCTGTGTATTAGAGCCAAATCTGGTCAAATGAGCGTTGATGGTTACCAAGGGTACCTTTACATGGAAGAAGGCCATGGTAGCAGGTCTTTGGTCCTTCTTGCTTTTCCATGGAGCCTAGAAGCCATGTAAAGTCTGAATCAATGCCAGGGTCCCCTTATTGGGCACAGCCTCAGCTATACCTTTCCCTGTCACCCCATCTCCCTTGCACCATCCAGCCTCACAAGGGAGGAATCAAAGAACCAGGAAATGAAGGCTCTGCAGAGATCTGCACCCTCTTTTGACTCTTGGAAGACAAGAAGGGCATCTCTATCAAGTATTCTTTGGTCCAAAGCCTTCTGGTAGGATCTTCACCACCGTTCATTATGAAGGCCATGCTGGTCTCGGGGTTCTATTTGAAAAATGAAGAATCTTAGCCAGGCTTGGTGGCACACACCTTTAATCCCAGCACTTGGGAGGCAGGTGTATTTCTGTGAGTTCAAGACCAGCCTGCTTTACATAGTGATTTCTAGGACAGCCAGGTCTACATAGTGAGACCCTGTACCAAAAGAGAAAGGGGGAGAGAAGGAGAGAGAGAGAGAGAGAGAGAGAGAGAGAGAGAGAGACTCTAAAGTCAAAGAAGTAGCCAGCAAGATCTACATCACACAAATAACTCTCCAGGCTGTCCAGCTCCTTCTGGCTGCCCCAAGATCCTCTCTCCTTCTGAGTCATTCTGAAATTAGGGGAAGCCTTAGGTAGAGAAAAGGCCCCCTGTTTTCCCACTGCAGTCCATGGACTTGTGAGAGGGAAGAGGAGGGATCTCTTTAGGGCCATGTGGGTTGGGTGGTAGAGATCGGGAGACCCAGGCACTATTTCATTTACCTGCCATCTACTCAAATACTCCAAGAGTGTCAGAACTGCTCATGAGACAGGACCCAGCGAGCCCTGTGAGCACCACAAGATAAAGAACAGACATGGAGGGAAGGGACAAAGAGGAAAGGACTCTGAGAAACAGAGCTAGGAGAATGAGGCACACAGGCAGACCTTTTGGGGACCCCCCATCTGGTAACTAGTTATCACATTCTTGCTTAAGAAACAAAGCTATGTTGCATGTGTCTTCAACACTTTCAAAGATGGGGAGATATGGCAAAGCTGGGTCCTGAATTAGTGTCAACTTGTCATTAAAATATTGTATTGCAGCTTCCCAGAGAGACTGACAGTGGTGTGTGTGTGAGAGAGAGAGGTTGGTGTGTGTGTGTGTGTGTGTGTGTGTGTGTGTGTGTGTGTGTGGTGTTTAAGAGAGGGGGGGAGGTTGGGGTTATAAATCCAGGAGAAAAAGCTCATCTTTCCCAGCCACAGGAACTGAACATTGAAGGAAAAATGTCCATCCCCTGCCAAGAGGTGCAGATTCATTAACCTTTCATCAGTGATTAAATATGTAAACAGGTTCCAGGCAAGCCCTTGGCAAATCATTAATGAGAGAAAGCCTTTCTCTCGTGACAGGCCCTGCCCACTTATCAGTCTCCACACCCATTCCCAGCCCTGTAGTGTGGCCATAGGACACAGGACTCTCTGCCTAGCTAAAGTCCCTGCTCCCTAGGCACCTGCTACACTTTGATAACAATAATAAAATGTGCATAGATCATTACAGTTTGCCAAGCCATGCATTCGTTTAACGAACTCCTCAACTCACTCAGAATAGACTTGGCTAGGCTTCAGTGAGCCTCACTAGTCTCAGTCACATGACACAACACACATTTATCTCTTGTTTGCACAAAGTCCATGGCTTGTCTGGGTGACTCTATGGCAGTGGCTTCTGAGGGTGGCTCAGTATGCCAACTATTTGGACTTGGGACACCTCTGTTTCATCACCCACAATTAATGAGGCAGGGAAGAAAGCAACGAAGTTCTCACCTTGGTTAGCAAGTGTTCTGGCCAAAAGGTGTACAGAGTCTTTCTGTTCCCAGGCTCTTGGCCAGACCTATTCTCATGGCACTATCTAACTGCTGTACAGGTAGGGAAATAAAATTTTCCGTGTTCAGAGAGGAGCCGGGCATATTTGGACAAGTGCTAGAATCTTCTACCATAGGGAGTGATTCTCGGTGAACCAAGGTGCTCACTGAGACCCCTCAACTACCCTTGCCAGGCTGTTGGAAGAGGAAAATACAGCCAGGAAAGGTTTCTCAGGAGAGGAAGCATCCACAGTGGGTTCCCAGAGATGAAAAGATGACACCTAGTCAAGGCCAAGGCTGATTTAGGAGTGAAAGTGGGAAAGAAGGTGGGCTCAGGAGAGGTAGAGGTGATGGATCAAAGGCTGAGAGAGATGCAGGCTGAGAACGGGGCCCTCCTTAGTTGGCAGAGATTTAGGCAAAGGATGAGAAGACTAAGGAACTAGAGGCGGGACAGATGATTGAGCTTGCCCCCGGAGGGGAGGAGTCTCACCCAGAGGCCAGCATGACCGCATCAGAGCCCACAGACAGATAAATAAGGTTCCT